GTATATATATATATATATATACATATGTGTGCGTGTGTGTGTGTCTGTGTTTTGCTTTGCACAGAGCATTACCGAGACTATACCTTGTTGCCATATAGTTTATCAGTGTACATCGTGTAATATTGTTCAAAATGTCCTGTTTTACTCCCTACAATTCAGCCAACTGGTTTGGTCACCTTTTGACCTTATCAGTTGCTACATAAGCCCTTGCAACCTCAACAAAGTTCATATCTGGACTTTGTGCCGGTCGTGCCATTGATGTGAGTGTTCCATATGTCCCTTGTCTTGCTCTAAGACGAATCTCCACCCGATGAGTCCTATTCTTGAGGGAATATCATAATGGATAATAATCTGCATGTACTTATCAGCAGTTATGGTGCCACCAATTTTGTATAGATCCTCGACACCGTCGGCTGAGGTGCAGCCCGAACGTGTTTTGATTCTCCACAATGTTGACCTGCAGATGTTGACTATAATACAGTTTTCCTCACCACCGCCGAGCAGTTGTCGTGGATTTTTGCCCTCCAAAATCGAACTTGGGATTCATGTGAAAAGTTGACACGTCTCCAGCTTTGCTTACTCTGTTATTTGTTATTCGGTCCTATTTCATCCTTTTGGTTTGGCTACATCTTCTCGGCAACGGTGTTTTGAGAAGATAGATGTTCATTGACATCACTTCTTGGTAATGTGTACTTCACTGTGTTCACAGCAAAGTAGTTGACAAGATCTGTACTTGACCGCCATCTGTCGTTTAAAAAACGTACCTCTAGATACATAGCAGTTTCGATTTTCTAATTTTTGTCACTTGCTTTATTTAGAGTTTTCATGCAGCTCTACTGAAATATAAAATATCGTCTTATTCTGTCGCGTGAAGTAACCTACACCGCTCAAAACTTTAATTCCTACACTTCTGTCGCTGGTGCAATTTATTTTGAAACGATCAAGGAGTGGCATTGGTGACGTGTTTCCATAATTATTTCAAATACTGATATAGATATATATATAAACATGTGTACGTGTGTGTGTATTACGAGCAATTTGTATATTTAAGAAATGTGCATATTTACCGGCTATTATGTACGCTAGTCAGATTTTGGGGAGAATGTGCATATTTCTTGTTGAATGACGAAGTTTCGCAATGTAACTGGACAATGTGCAAAACTGTATCATAGTCTCTTATTGATATTAGTTATACCCAAAGAATATGCAAATTCTTCGCTTATACACATTCACCGTAACATATATAAGAGCCTTAATGTCGGGGATACCTGGTAGGTGGCATTACTTTATAATATACTCGCTTATCTAAACACAATTTTAAGCCTGTTTTCTGCTATAAATATTAGATTTTGGTCTCGTAAATATCTAACAGTATCAGTATTTTTGCAATGAAATTGACCTTTGCTCTTTTTTCTGGAGAATAAAGAACGTTTTTGTTGTTTGTTTATTCCCACAATATCTAAATCTCTCCAGTAGGCACAACAAATTTCGACAAACAATATCAGTAATTGACTCGTATGCTCATAAAGAATTCTACTGTGTTTGTTGGATATATATGTTTTGTTGTGAGCAATACGATTATTGTACTATGTCTGTTGAACATATAAGTATTGTTGTGAATAATACAATTATTCTACTATGTCTGTTGGATATATAAGTATTGTTGTGAATAATACAATTATTCTACTATGTCTGTTGGATATATAAGTATTGTTGTGAGTAATACGATTATTGTACTACATCTGTTGAATATATAAGTATTGTTGTGAGTAATACGATTATTGTACTATATCTGTTGATATATAAGTATTGTTGTGAGTAATACAATTATTCTACTATGTCTGTTGGATATATAAGTATTGTTGTGAATAATACAATTATTCAACAAGATATTATTCTTTTTCTAAAATAATTTCTACTTTTCAAGGTTATCTCCTAAGTTACAGACGAGAGTATGGAAGTTGGGAGGAGATGGAAATACCACCCGACAGACAAACAGCAACAATAAAAAATCTTCACTGTGGAACAAGGTACCTCTTACGAATAGCGGCAGTTAGTCAAATCACCGCAGGAGAATATAGCAAGCCTATTTATGGTCGAACTGAAGGAAAAGGTAATAAATAAGTGTACCTCATTTCAATATCGTCTTGGTATTTCAACTACAGGTAATAAACAAGTGTACCTCATTTCAATATCGTCTTGGTATTTCATCAACTACCTTACTATAGGTAATGAAAACAGTCGCTTTTGGCAATCAAGTCAAAACAAAACTGGTTTGTAGAAAAGCATTGTATGTGGAACTGATAATCATCTTACTGTTTACCAACATGTTAAGCCTAAATTTAATTTTCTCTTGTCCGTATATTGCAATAACTTTAACCTAAACTCTACTTAAATATTATTTAAAGGTGTTAAATCTAAAATTAACTTTTGTCTTTGTTAATATCTCACGTTGTTTCCATAAATTTAACTTCGTCTCTGTATCAGAGTGTAAGCCTAATTACATGTTTTTTTTGTTTTTTTATAAATCAGTTTAATGTTACAATACCATTAGGTTAAGCTGTTAGTTCCGCTTTGGGAAGTCTAACACTTTTTTTACCTGTATCCATAGCTCCACAAGCTCCTGCAAAAGGAACCTTTATTAGAGCAAACTCCACGTATATGATTCTTTATAAGGAGGCTTGGAACAACGGACGCTGTCCAATTAGGTCGTTTATCATTCGCTACAAACGTTTTTTCGCTACTGATTGGACATTGGTAAATAATGATGCTAAATCTTACGTGATGATTAGGGATCTCTCACCGGGCACGTGGTATAAGGTATGGGTGACGTCACATAACGAAGCTGGCTCAACAGTAGCAGAATATGACGTTGCAACACTAACACTAAATGGCGGTAAGAATTACTGATTTCACACGATTTAAGCGTAAGGTTCAGTTTGCACTCTCAGAATCATACTCATTATATAAATATTTGTTTTCTATGTGTTGTCCTCTGGTAGGAAAGCGGTAAGTCTACAGTCTTAAAATGCTAAAATCTGGGGTTCGATTCTCGCAATGGACACAGCAGGTAGACCAATGTGGCTTTGCTCTCAAACATACCTTAATTTCCGTGTATTTGGCAGTCAGAAATAAAACTGTAAACTAAACCGTGACGTTTCGGATTTGTTCATATATTATAATGTAATCAAAATATAATTACATTACTATTCAAATTATAATAATTATAAGCAAAAATGCCAATTATTTTGTTATATTGCATTATTGCTTTATCAAAGGGTTAATTAAAACCTCCTCTGGCGATAACAAACTCGAGTGTTTATTTTCCAACGTGAACAATTGACTGAGGGCATTGTATGAAGATTTGTTTGTTAGTTTGTTTTTAATTGCGCGCAAAGCTACACGAGGGCTATCTGCGCTAGCCGTCCCTAATTTAGCAGTGTAAGACTAGAGGGAAAGCAGCTAGTCATCACTACCCACCGCCAACTGTTGGGCTACTCTTTTACCAACGAATAGTGGTATTGACCGTCACTTTATAACGCCCCCACGGCTGAAAGGGAGAGCATGTTTGGTGTGACGGGGATTCGAACCCGCGACCTGCAGATTGCGAGTCGAGCTCCCTAACCACCTGGCCATGCCGGGCCTTGTGTGAAGATCGAAATAGAAGCATTTCCTTAAAACAAGTGATAAGTATACGAATAGCTAACATCCTTGTATTGTTGTTTAAACTGGAAAATGACCAGTTTTTAGTTAGAATTTTCTGTTCAATTAGATAATTAAAAGTGCATTTTGTACATAGTTTTACTTATCCACATTTTTTTTCCTGATGTGCATCACACTTATAACCGATTTTCTTTTGAATTGATAGTCGTTTTTTCAAACCTCACCGAGAAAATGAAACTTCGTGATTTACAGAAGGTATACAAATAATCAACTTGTAACAATGAATGGTTTGAAAGTTACCATTCGTAACTTCATAATGGCTATCTGAAAATGTTAACTTTTTTTTTTTTTGAAGTAGCATTCAAAACAATTAATTTATCTCGATATCATTACTATTATGATTACTAGTTATGTTTTATGCCTTCTTCGTTGTATAACTTGAATTCCAAAATGTAAATACGCATAGGTAAATAAGAAATTCTTCCAACCTTGTACTCGTACACTAAGCCTAACATTATATATGAATGGTGGAATAGTAACTTACTATCTAATAATGATGACTGACTTTTACTTGCGTTTAATCATGACTCTAACATATATATATAGATACACGGGCTTTCGTACTCTAAAGCTGTTCTTTCTCGAATCTTCTTTAAAGGTTTCAACTTAAAAAGTGTTATTTAGTTTTAGAAAAACAACTTAATCATTAATTATGCCAAGTGGTTGTTTGGGTGTTAAGCGCAAAGCTACACAAAGGTCTATCTGTGCACTGCCCACCACAAGTATCTAAACCCGCTTTCTAGTAGTATACGTCCGCAAACATCCCACTGTGCCACTGGGGGGGCATTATGCCAAGGAAAACGCACCATCAAAAGTGAAACCTATCTCATATACTTGTAATGTATAAATGCAATTACTAATTAACAAGTATCTACTGTACAAAATAACATAAACCTTTTATAAAGTGTTTTATAAAACGCTAGTGTCAAAATATTGCACAAAAATTAAATTAAAATTAGTATAATTAACAAAATATTATTGTTGTAAACGAACAAATAGAGGAATAAAGGGCGGGTTGAAAATAATAATTAATATTTTTGTATAGTTGTAGTTATTCTTTACACACGCCTTAAGTTTATCAATACATAATTCTAAGTATTCAGTTAATATTATTATTCATTTCCGCTCTTTCGTGTAATTTATGTGCTGAAAGTAGTCGTGTTACACACTGCACACTTACTGAATCTTTGTTGCTCCAGCTACAGTAGCTCCAGTTTTCTTTGAAAGTAGCCGAGCTCCAGCGAACCTGTGGGAAGATCTAAACATCATTATTCCAATCGTTGCTGCTGTTGTGGCTTTGTCGGTCGTCCTAGGTGTCGCTATATGCGTATGCTTAAAGAAGCGCCAGAACGGTATGTCTTAATTCTGTCAATGAGATATTTTTTTATTCACGTATCTGCCATTTAACTGCAGAGAATAATCTAATATTTAATCAGAAAATTACTAATAATTTCGTGTTGGTTTTAAAATCAGAAAACGTAATTTTTTTTAAGTAGACAATTTCGGTATAAAACTGTTCGGTAAACTGAGCGACATCTGACGTAGGTTAGGATTGTCTTTAATCTAAAACGACTTTATTACTTAATCCGTGGCAGTTCAGTGTACTTTTAAATGAGTTTTCTCTCTCTATATATATATGTGTGTGTGTGTGTGTGTGTCTATAAAAGTAAAGAAAAAACCTTTCAGAAAAGGAAGTAAATGTAGAGATGGCTAATATCAATCCTTCAAAAACAATGCGAACAAGATAGTAGGGATGGCATTTGCACCATCCCTACATAATAGCACAGACGCACAGTGTAGTAGAAT